TTCATTGACTTGGTAAACGCTGGCTATTTTTGAATGACCAGTCCGAAAACTGGCTATATCGTGCTATTTTTACCATCTGGATACTTATGTATTTTTGCCCAAAAAGTTGGAGTTTTGACACAGTTACCCACAAAAATAAAATTATTTACCCTTGTCTACCCATTTGTTTTTCTATTCATAAACTAATTACATTTCTTACCAATAGTAGTTTTTGTGGGGAATTTTTTCTTTATTCTCCAATTTTTTTTATTTCTATGCTTCTTTTCTTCTTCTTCTTTTTTTCTCCTTTTCTTTTTTCTCGTTTTCTTCTTCTTCTTTTTTCATTTTTCCTTTTCTAATTTCATTTAACTTCTTTTTTTTATATTCTTTTTCTCTTCATAATCTAATTTCATTTACTGTTTTCACTATTTTTTATTATTCTTTTTTTATATTATTACTAAAGAAAAATCAAATTGTGTACCAATTAAATGTAGCTAATACAACCAAAAAATATTAATTAACATATGATACCAGTATAGCATATAGTTATACCAACAGGGTATACAACTGTACGCAAAGAGTTTAAAATTTTTTAATTCAATTATTAAACTAAAATAATATCAGTTGTCAATAAAAATTTCAAAAAATTCTAAAAAGATCTAATTGTAAGAGTATATCGTTACATTATATAGCATACTATAATATTTTATTTATTTTTTTGCATTTTCAATTTGTCCCTCACGCTGGGTAAAAGCTTAAAGCAAATTAAAAGGGAAAAAGTAAGTGAATTTACGGGTAATAAGTATATTATTATAGTATATTGTATATTATTACAGCATACTGTTACAGTATATTGCATATTATTACAGTATACTATAACAATATATTGTATACTATAATAGTATACTGTTGCAGTATAACTATATACTCCTATAGTATATTGTATATTGTAGCGATATACTATTAGGTAACTGTGTTCTTCTCCGATTATTACGATATACTGTTGCAGTATATTGTAAACTGATATTACTTTTGCCTTGATACTTCATTGAAATCTGACTTGTCTGCCCTGCAAATTTTTATAATTATTTTGGGCTAATTTTAATTTGAGAATATAATATAGCTAAATCTCATATATATGACATTATATGAGTGTAACAAATGAAATAACCTTGGGATATGTTAAGTTACAAGTTGATGAATGAAGAACCTAACCTACATGTAAATTAAATAAAAGGTTAGTTAGCAAAAGAAAAGGGATAGGGGTCAAGAAAAGTTACGTGGCAGTTGGTGGTTATATAAGGATTTAACTATGAATCCTTTGAATTTAATAACAAACAAGAGGACAAGAGAATTAAATAACCTATTAAATATCTATAAATGAGTCTCGTGGCTTAAGGGACGGATTGTAAGCAGGCGGGTAATTTATTTTGATCGTTTAAGAAGTTTATGTAATTATTTTAGAAATGGGTAGAAACAAGTAATATAAATGGCCGACGTAGGCATCTTGTGTAGTTTTCCTCCAAAAAAGTTACTCAATGCTAATAATGTCCATACGTGTTTACTTAAAACATATGTTTCAGAATACATAATTTAGAAAAATAAAATAATTGATTTTTTTCCAATTTTAGCTTTATTATAATAGATGTGAAAAGAGATTAATGTGTGAAAATAAAACGTAATAAATTAAGGTAACAGAATAAATAAGTGTAATCTAATCAGATGGTAACAGTTGTTATTTGTTTTTTTGTTGAGGTAAGTAATAATAGAATTATCTACGAAATAGATAAACAAAAATAACATACTCAGTATTATTTCACAATGTGGGGTGTGGGGAAGGTAGTGTGTACGCAGACCTTACCCCTAACTTGTGAGAAATAGAGAGGTTATTTCCAATTAAGGATGGCAATGGGGCGGTGCGGGTTTGGCAAAACTCACAAAAATTTCAACCCGCCCCGCGCCGCATATTTAATTTTTCAATTTTCAACCCGCCCCGCCCCACTTAATTTTTTTTGTGTTTTCTTTAATAATATATGTCTAAATTAATTATCTTTTTTATTATTATATCTAAGTTTAATTTAACAAGTTTTCAACCATGCGTATGATGCAACTTTAATAATAGAAAGATACGCAACGTATCTGGGGGTATTTGCATATATACCCGCTTTATGTGTTACGTTTTAACTTGTGTCCGCTTTGCAAAATAAATTGCAAGCGTACCCGCTTTTTCGTATAACTCCAGCATACGGGGCTGAAGTAGCAAAGGCAATCACGCAAAACTTCAGCATTCTAGTAGTCGGGCCTGAAGTTCAGCTCTAGAGCTGAAGTTTTTATTTTGTAACTGGCAAACTTCAGTTCTAGAGCTGAAGTTTTTGTTTTGTAACTGGCGAACTTCAGCTCTAGAGCTGAAGTTTTTATTTTGTAACTGGCAAACTTCAGTTCTAGAGCTGAAGTTTTTGTTTTGTAACTGGCGAACTTCAGCTCTAGAGCTGAAGTTTTTGTTTGTAACTGGCGAACTTCATCTCCAGAGCTGAAGTTTTTAAAATCCTTGAGTATATACTGCTGAAGTTTCTATTTTTGGGGGAGGAAGATTGACCTTTCAAATTCCATATTCTAAGTTAAAAGTGGGTACAAATAAGGCGACTAAAAAATGGGTATAGGTTAAATGGGGGCGATCAAATAGGGCGCCCCGTGCAATTTTTACCGTATCTGTGGCTGTCTGTATATGAACCCAAATATCATCTCGTAAGCTAACAAAAATGCCTAGGAACGCTCATTTGTTTCTTTCTCTTTCTTGGTTTCTGATGCTCTTAATATTATGTTATACTAATATTAAGTGCAAATATATTAAACATGAAAGGAATGCCATTATGCAGATTTACTAAAAACATAATTAATTAGCAGTAAAAGTGTTAAGAAAGATTAATTTCAACTTTGATAAAATTCAAAGTTGCCCCGCGTTGAACCCGCATTAAACNCCACGCCCTGCCCCGCACCCGCCGCGCCCCATTGCCATCCCTATTTCTAATAGACTCTCGGCTCAGGAAAGCATAAGCACCACATTAACGAAAATATAGACAAGAAGAGGCAGTAACAAAAAATCATATAAAAGCAGAATAAAGAACAACAAGATAGTAAGGTGATCAACAATGAAAGAAAACAACGGTTAGTCATAAAAAACTACTACCAACAGAAAGCGAGATTGCGTGTCAATACTACTACTATAAATACCCTAGACTACCTACTCTACAACCCTAATCCTCGACCTACATGTCTTCCTATCAAGGGTCATGTCCTCGGTCAGCTGAAAATGTGTCATATCTTGCCTAATCACCTCTTCCCACCTTTTCTTTGGCCTACCTCTACCTCTCTGTAAGCCCTCGAATGTCAACCTCTTACACCTCCTCACCTGGGCATCTGTGCTCCTCCTCCTCACATGACCAAACCACCTAAGTCGCGCTTCTCGCATCTTGTCCTCAATAGGGGCCACACTCACCTTGTCGCGAATAACCTCATTTCTGATCTTATCTAGCTTGGTGTGCCCGCACATCCATTTCAATATCCTCATATTTGCTACCTTCATCTTCTAGACATGAGCGATCTTGACTGGCCAACACTTTGTCCCATACAACATCGTTGGTCTGACCATCACTTTGTAGAATATCGTTGGTCTAAAAATAACATGTACCACGACACTTCCCCTTGGATGCGCACGTCAGTACATCCATCGCCAAAGCAAACAAAAAAGGGTTGAGTGTTGACCTTGATGCAACCCATCATAATCGGAAAATGGTCCGAGTCCCCATCCACCGTCCTCACTCGAGTCTTTGTTCCATCATATATGTCCTTAATCAACCTAACGTAATCAACATGTACACCTCTAACCTCCAAACATCTCCAAAAAACCTCTCTCAGAACTTTATCGTACGCCTTTTCTAAGTCGATGAACACCATATGTAAGTCCTTTTTCTCTTCCTATACCTGCTCCATCAATCTTGTTACTGTAGTCGAATGCCCAGCATAAATCCAAACTAGTTCTTGGAAATAAACACACTCCTCCTCACCCTTAGCTCTACCACTCTCTCCCAGACTTTCATAATGTGGCTAAGCAGCTTGATACCCTGATAATTATTGCAATTTTGGATATCACCCTTGTTTTTGTATACAAAATAGATAAGTACTTTCAAATATTCTCTACGCTGGTACATATTACATACGTCCCCTTTACTTTCAACCAATTTGAAATAAGCTTCAATTATATTTTAGCCCAGAATATCCTACTCTCAAAGGTTGTTTCCAATAGACATGAGCTTCAATTATATTTTACCCGTACCTTATAAAAATAGAGAGGTTGTTTTCAATAGACCCTCGACTCAGAAAAACATAAGCACCACATTAATTGAAAAGATAGACAATGAGGGACAACGCCAAAAAGCCATGTAAAAGTGGCATAAAAACAACATGATAATAAGATGATCAAAATAAAAGAAAACGATGGATATTCATAAAAACGCACTACCAACAAAATGCGAGAGTGTGCACTAATCCTATTGGTATTAACAATCTACCACCTACCCTACTACTCTAATCCTCGACCTCCACACCTTCCTATCAAGGGTGATATCCTTGGTCGGCTGAAGCTGCGTCATGTCTTGCCTAATCGCCCTCTCCCCACCTCTTCTTCGGCCTACCTCTACCTCTTCGTACGCCCTCCAATGTCAACCTCACACCTCCTCATCGGCGCATTTGTGCTCCTCCTCCTCACATGTCCAAACCACCACCTAACCCTTGCTTTCTGCATCTTGTCCCCAATTGGGTCCCACACCCACCTTGTTGCGAATAACATCATTTCTGATCCTATCTAACGTAGTGTGCCCTCACATCTATTTTTAGAGGTAAATGAGAATAGAAAAGGAAACCTATGGCCACGTCAAAAATTTAAGCATTGCCCCGTCTTAGCCTCCCTGGGAGCCACGAACACGGAAAAGATTTCTGAAAATAATTTTAACCAACCGAAAAAATCAACACGAAAATCAAAAGTAAAAGATTTAAAGCTCTATTCAAAGGGGAAAACATGCTAAATAACCCGATCATCCCCTTTGTTGAAATCATCCCCTTTGCTGAAATCGCAAACATCCTAGTAATAGGCAGCATCAGTATCCAAATATCTTCATTTAATCTAAAACAAAACGCCCTATAAATAATTTACAGTATCCTATTTTGCTTGCGCTTTAAACAACATGAAACATGAGAGATTATCATGCTGTCCTTTAAGCAGATCAGAGAACTTATACTCATGTTGATGGAGTTTCAAGTCTCAGAAGATCAACCATTGGCATATGGTGTGAATTCTAAACTCTAGATGAAACTGGATCCCAAAATTACTTATACAGACTGCTGTATCAGCGATCCACTTCCAGTTCCCGTCCTTGCCATCCTAGAGACATCTGTGATTGCTGAGGCTGATCAAAGCCATACTCGGTAGATGAACCAGATCCAACATAATTTTCTGGATGATCAAACTTACAAGCAGGGCCAAACTTGCATATCCCATAACGGCTGTAGAATGAGCAGACAGTTTGATCCTATAATTTGAAAATAAAAATAAAAAAAATAAAAAAACATATGAGAAACCAAAGTATAAGCAGAGCATGCAATGAGTAATGCACAATATACAAATAAGAGAGAGCATACAGCTCAACTAGGAGGTAATGAATCACTTATAGAGCAATTTATTGACCTAAATGTCAAAAGCTAAAAATTCTAGGAAGAAACATTAAATAAATTTAAGATCCAGACAGAAGAAAAACGTACAGGTCTTAGCGGCAGGCCCTTCTCATTAAGAGTACTTGAGTTTGCTTTTGATACTCGAGACTTTGGATGGTGAAATTTGCAGTTAAATTTGTATTTACAGTCTCCAGTTTTAATGAAGTAACTGCAATCAGGTTGACCGGGACGTTCAGGATATTCTTCAACCAGCAGTGGCTGTAGAGGCCGTGGATAGTAATTGGTCTTGGTTGCTGGATTGTTCATACCAAATGCTGGAGGAGTAGGTAGTCTCTTCTCTGCTGTTGGATAGACCGGGGCCTCAATCAGCAAAAACATAGAAACAAGTAAGCGCAGGCAGTAAAGGTGTCTTGCTACAAAGTCAGCAGTCAAAGCCATAGAGCTTAATAAATAATATGGAAGACCCCAAAAGTTCAGAATGTACTGTATACTTATCTATTTTATTTAGCGTTTATCATACTGTCCAATAACCAGCAACTTCCTTCCCAAGGATGAGTGCCACGCCATATAAACTTGAACAAGTATAGTTCTCACATGATAAGGCTAAAATATACAGGTAAATTTCCACCACTATCTACATAAGTAGACATTAAAACCATATTATTACTAGCATGGATTGAAGTACCTGCTTCAGATAACTCCAAAAGAAGGTCAAAAGGATTAAGATGCACTAGCGACCTGATAACTCCAATTTTCAGAACACACCATTTTTTGACAAGGTAATAAAATTTTATCAAAGGCCAACAAGCACGTGCATACCAATAGTATACAAAAAAGCAGAAAACCTTACAAAACAGAGCACGCATCATATAACATACAACAGATAAATATTAAACTTCGTTATGGACTACCTGATACCCATTCCATTCGGTATTTGGAGAAGGAATGCCTTGGGTTGGTGGATACATCATTGGTACGTAAGGAGCTGTGTCATTCAATGCTCTTGGCGAAGACCAAGAAGATGCAGCTGGATGGGAGGCAGCTTGTACGGGAACAGCTCCACCGTTATTATATCCAGAAGAACGATCAGCTCCAGCCACAGTGGTAGGATCAGGATGATGAAACCTACAGTTGGACCCATACTTGCAAGAGCCAGTACGCATATAGTAAGGGCACTCCTTCTCCCCCTGAAATGAAGATCAGCACATATGATCCCTCGAGAAAAATTCTCAGATTCCCAAACTTCTAAAACAGTGGAAAGAAGTAATACCGGTCGAATAGGCAGGCCAAGAAAGTTGAACTCCGCAATAGGTGAGATGGAACCTTTTTCCCTACTATGATTGAATTTACAAGCTTTTCCATACTTGCAACCCCCTGATGTCAGGTAGTACTGCACAGAACAAAAAATGGAATGCAAGACATAGGTAATTAAAAGATCAAAGTTATTCGGGTATTGTAAAAAAAGGGCAAGGCAGCCCGCTGCACAAAGCTCCCGCTATGCGCGGGGTCGAGGAAGGGCCGGACCACAAGGGTCTATCGTACGCAGCCTTACCTTGCATTTCTGCAAGAGGCTTATTCGGGTATTGTACACAAACATTAATTACTTATCACACAACTAAAAATCGACAAAAAGAAATGAAGAAAATTCTTTAAAGCAACATTACCAACGCTTAAAAGTCATCACAAAAACAGTATATCATTCAGAAAATAACAAAGAAAAGGAATAATTATACCAACAACTAAATACTTTAACAGGCAGTGTTCTCATCATTGTTTCTGATAAAGCTGTTCTCATCATTGTTCTTGATAAAGCTCTTCTCGTTATTGTTAACCAATGAATCATCAATTAAAAGTCAATTTCAATCACATCATGCGGCAAAGGCTTCATATGTAGACATATCAAGATAGTCAAGGTTTTACTGATAGCTTCTACATGACATATGGTCACATTTCCTTGTACAAAAAAAGATATACAGTCATGTTTCACTCCCATCTCAAGATATAGCCAAGACGAAATTTAAGAATAGTGCATAGAACGAAATATTAAGTTCCTGCACTTAAAAAATGCAGCAAAGAGAAGAATTGAGCAGTATTTTTTGATTTTACGTGTATCAAATTATTGCTCAGCAAAAGTACTACAATCTGAATGTTGGAATTTAAATAGTTCCTCATAAAAGAAGCATTCTCTCCACCATATAGTACCTTTGATTGGATATTCCAAAATATTACCTACTTAAGCAATCACTACTCTGGCAAACTTAAACTTCATAATCGATTTTTTTCCTGTATTGAGCAAAAGCAGAAGAAACTTCATAATCGGCTCACTGCCCTGGCCAAATCTACTAGCAGTGAGAAATAGGTGAGGTTCTAAATACAAAGAATATCAACAAATTCCCCTAACAAAAGAAAAGGGAATAACAAACCTCTCCAACTAAGGACAAAGGCAGGAATCTTCCTTTTAGCGTTCCAACTTAAAGACGCAGTTACAGATGGCAAAAAGTAGAAATCAACATGTTGCTTTTTAAATTTATGCTAAAGTAGATTTTGTTACTAGTTATTGTTATCATGTAATCCACTAACTCACTAGCAATTCTGACATCCCCCGATTCTCGACGAGTTGTTGGCCAAGAAAGTCATTGAGCTTCCAAAGTCAACGCGACCTAATGAAGCCAACAACAATAACAACAAACCCAGTAATTTCCCACAAGTGGAGTTTGGGGAAGATAAGATGTACGCAGCCTTACCCCTACTGTGGAAGGGCAGAGAGTCCGTTTCCGATAGACCCTCGGTTGGAGAACGGATGAAAAAAGTAATGACAACAAGCAAGAATAACAACAAGATAAAAATAAGACCGAAGCCAAGAAAGCAATAAAACTCTAGGTAGTAAATAGCAATCTATAAAAAGATATCACACTAACACTAATGCTAGCGAACTGAGTAAGACACAGAGAAGCGCTCAACTACCTACTAGCCTTCTACCCTAATTTTCGACCTCCACACCCTCCTATCTAGGGTCATGTCCTCAGTCAGCTCTAGCCACGCCATGTCCCGCTTAATCACCTCTCTCCAAGACTTCTTAGGCCTACCTCTATCCCTCTTGATACCCACTAAGGTTAACCTCTCGCACCTTCTAACTGGGGCTTCTATGCTTCTCCTCTTATTATGCCCGAATCATCTCAACCTCGCCTCCCACAACTTATCCTCCACAGGGTCACTCCCATCTTATCCTGAATAACTTCATTCAGAATCTTATCTAATCCGGTATGCCCAAACATCCACCTTAACATCCTCATCTCAGCTAATTCATCTTCTGGACATGAGAGTTCTTGACAGGCCAACACTCTGCTCCATACAGCATAGTCGGTCTAACTACTACCTAGTAGAACTTACCTTTAAGTCTCAGCGGCACATTCTTATCACACAAGACACCGAAAGCGAGCCTCCACTTCAACCATCCTACTCCGATACGGTGCGTGACATCCCCCATCAATCTCCTCATTACCTTGTATCATATATCCAAGGTACTTGAAACTTTCTCTCGATGACCTGTGTATCAAGCCCACACCCATGTCTGCTTCCTGGGTAACTTCGTTTAACTTGTACTCCATATACTCTGTCTTGGTCATGCTCAGCTTGAAACCTTTAAGACTCAAGAATCTACCTCCAAACCTCCAGTCTGTGGTCAACACCTCCTCCCCTTGAAGCCAGCAAAGTCAATTATCCCAAGTACTAATAACCACATCGTCAGTCACTCTATAGCATGACATTACTAAGTAGAAGATCATGACATGACTAAGTTATGAAAAGATCATATTGATGCTAATGACACAGCGGAAGCGGGAAGAGAACCACACTAGTGCTAAAATCAATCACAAGGGACAAAGCAAAGTCGTATCCAATATCTAATCCTCCTTCAGCAAAAGCATTTTCAGATGACATATGTTGACCTCTAGTAATTCCTCAAATTTAAAGGGAGTGCCTTCTTTGAAAAAGCTTATAGTCTTCCATTGGACTTTCTTTCTGGATATTTACCAGAATAGAGGACTACACACATTTTAATAGTCTTCCATCGGACTCATATGTCTCGAACCCTTGACATTCAGTCTTCTTCAATTCATCACACTAACGAATTAACTAAGACTCCTCTCGAGCTTGTAGAGAGGATATAATTTAGTTTAGCTCATTGACAATGTTCTCATTCATTCTGTTATAAAATACATAAAAGAATGTTGTTGTGAAGCCATCCGGACATGAGGCTTTGTCTCCCACACAACTTATGACTGCCTGACAGTCTCCCATATCCTTCGACCAAAACTTCCTCCCCAACCACATCTCGCTTCCTACGTCACTAAAATCAATTCCCTGTAATCTTTCCCTCCAAAACCGCATCATCCTTATACAAATGTAAAGAATCCCTTAATAGCCCCTCCTACCTCCCCTTGAACTCTTATCCTTCCCCCGCCCCCCAAAAACCCCTCTCCCCCATTGTATTCACAAATTTACCATCCAGTCAACAATAGCAAATTGGTGAAAGAATTCTGTTATTATCTTCTTTTTCAACTGTAACAACCTTGATTCTTGTCTGCAACTGATCACTTGAGTAATCATCATATTAACAAGTTCTCCTTGCCCCTCTACTTCACTCCTTACAAACCCTTCCTTTTCTTTTCAACTCTCCAATTCCGTTCATCAACCCCCTCAACTTCACTTTTGACTCTATCAAACACCTCCCTAGACCAAATTATTAAATAGTTCTCAAGTAGCTTAAAGGAGGAAGGAATCTACTGGACATGGCATCCTGTTCTCCAATTCCAGCTAGCTCCCTGAAGTTGTTTGCAACTCCATGTTTTAATCTCATTACTCTGCTAAAACCTATCAAGTATCAATATAGAATACCACAAGTGGAACTTGGATAACACATGGGAACATCTTCCAAACAATTGAATATCAGAAATGTGTCAACTTTCAATGTTAATCTTCACTCACCAAATATTCACTGAGTGAACATTGGTCCCAGAGTCCTTTTTTTTCCAATTAATTGAATTAAGGACAAATTGGCAAGTATTCAACCTTTATGATTGCCACACTTCTTTACCACACTTTCTTTATATTCTGCCTCAAAAAGATTGCACGCTTCTGTATTTGGAAAACTCTTTAGTCTTATCATCTCCATTTTACCCTAATGTTCACCTTTTATGAGAGAAATTAGAAAAAACATGTAGAACTCTCACCACCTCTCATTTTATTGTTGATAGTAAGGACAATTTTGGTACTTGCATATATTTTGCTTGTGTCAGAAACCTTTATTTGTTTCTTAAACTCCATGTGCAATGGAACACAGCCACATAAAACAGGACATAGGGAGTAAAAACCATTTCATACACATCAATAATTTGTAAAACACCTAATCAGGACTTTCATTTTCTAATTGCTGCCATTACTTACATCTTGCACTATATTATCTCCCTCTTTTTGTTAAGTTAAATTATCCCCCTCTTATGTGTTGCTACATTATTTTGCCACACAAAAAAGTTCTTGAATACTTTAACCAAGCTGCAAAACAATGGAAAGGAAACCATAAAGAAGGAGAAGCTATGAGTCAATTCTAATAAACAAACAGAGAGAACTTCACTACAGTCATTCTCCATTTGATGCCATAATGCTAATTAATTAAATATTTCGTGTTGTAATATACATTGTTATCTAAAGCAATTGCATTGCACTTATACAATTTAACTAGATTTGACATCATTAAAGTGAGGCTTTGATTTTATATATGTTAACCCTAATCATGGGGTATGCACCATAGCTGATCTAAGCCAAAATATTTTACTAAATCAACTATGGACAGGTCATATCAGTCATGCTGCCAAATATCAAAAGTAATGGCAGGACCATGCCGACTACCCAGGTCTAGTGTTTAAATTTATGTTATGTGCCATCGATCAAATCAAACTATTCATAAAAGAGCAAGCACAGAATAACCAAAGATTTGTATTTTCTGGCCGGATTGCTAGCAAAGATAAATTCCACAACCTTGCATTCAATCTGCCCTGGCCTTTCCTGGCTTTCTTCCCTTTGCTTTCCCTTCTCCTTTGTCCCCTGCTGAAGAATTGGCAAAAGAGTCTAACATAGTAACATCAGCAAAACTTTACTTTAGAACCAACTATAAAAACAACAAATGCAATAAAGACCACACCAGGATTCAAGCAACCTCCCTAAAACCAATGAATTACCATCCTAATCATTCATTAGCAAAAATGTCAACAAAAAAGTATTACTTTGATCTGCAAGTGTCAGTAATATAGTAAAACCTAGCAATCAGTTAACTCCTACCTCCAATCCCCCACTACTTCATCACAGCAAAAGAAATTCTAATATTCTCTGTAACTTAAACACATAAAACAACAAAGATATATTATACCATTATGCACTGGCACTAAGATTCATACATACCATATCCCTTACAGTTGCAAACAAACAATAAATTCACCCGATCAACCAAAAAACGAATGAGCGTAGAAAATTACTTGTAAATAATTTTTTAAAAAAAGTAGGATCAACTCCGAATCCATCAAAAAAATTACCTGGTATTTTCTTCTGGAAGGGTGATTAAACTTGCAATTGAATCCAAATTTACACACGCCTGTTTTCATAAAATAAGGACAATCCTGAGCATCAGGTCTTAAAGGGTAAATAAATTTTTTCTTAATCCTATTATTTGCATTAAACCCTCCTCCTTCCTTAGAATCCCCTTCATAGCCATTCTCCTTTTCCCCATCATTCTCATTGTCATTCCCATTAACACTTCCGCTCCTATTTTCCTCATCATAATGATAATCACCATATTCGCCAACATCCCCCCATCCATCATCATTCCCTTCAACATTTTCAACCTCGTTTTCATTGATTTTTCCATTTTCTTCAGGATCAAGGTGGTGAAGATCTTCTTTTTCTCTCTCTTTATCTAAGGCCTGGTTCAAGACCAGATCACGAAGATCTTCGCATATGATTTGCATCGCCATCTCATCTTCATCATCATTTTCGTTTGGTTGATTTTGATTAGGGTTTTCGATATTGAGATCGGAAGGTAACAACGACGTTTGGGGAGTTTGGGACTCAAACCCTAACTCCTCTTGAGTGTGTTTTGGGGATTGATTTTGATTTTGATTTTGAATTTGTTGTTGTTCAATTGCTTCTTCCATTGTAGGTTCCTCTACATCTCAATCAGTAAAAACCCTAATTTGAGCAAATTCAGTAAAGTGAAGTGTGCTGAATGGGACAGTGGCTAAATGAGTCAAAATAAATAGCGATTGGGATTTGGGACCACTGCCATTAGTTAGTACGTCACGCATTTATACTCTTTTCGTTTTCTTTTTTGAGTTTTTTTCAATATCTTTTTTCTCCTTTTCTTTCCTCTTCTTTTTCCTTTTTGCGTGGAGTTGGAAGAGAAATGTTAAAAGAAAATAATTTATGTCTGAATCATATAGGTTTTTTGTTATGATGATGGTTTTCGAGTCGGTTGCTGATTATTATACTGAGTAACCATTAACTTCCGATTGTTAGGTATTAATTAACTCTAGTTACCAAGATTTAGGCGACGTATATTCGAATTATATACTTATTGTACCGGATACCTATTAACTTTAATGTATATTTTTCATTGGAATTTATTGGTTAAAATCCACCATTTTTTTTATATAAATGCTACTTACTATACTAGTACTAGTATTAAAAGTTCTTTTTAAGAAAGAAAAAAAAAAGAACATAGGCTTTTCTTATTTTTTGATAACGAAAAGAGTTTGGTTTTATAATTTAAAATTTTATTTTCAGTGTCTTAAAGCTCTTCTAATTTTTGTTCACTTGTAATAATAGCAATTTGTTATTTTACTTCTAATCTTTCTTCCACTTTACTAGAGTTTAAATTTTAAAATAGTGGCTGATATAGAGTTTAAGCTATGAATTCAACAAAACCAAGCAACATTGTTCATACATTATATATATGTTGCACTTATCCATGTTTTTGTTAGGAGGATAAATACAAGACTTTTTTGAGTGAACTTTTTTATATATATATTTTGTAAAATTCAATGAAACGTCTAACACTTATTCTGAACTTATTTGACATGTCAAATTTTCATTTGCTAGCGACCAATTTCTGCTGTCGAAAATTTTACTCAATTGACATCCAGAGTTTTTTATTCAATGTTTGCTTATTCCATATTTACTGTAGCTCCAAAAAAAATGTCCTCATTCTACATGCTAAAGGAACTATTTATGTTGCTGGATACAAAATGTAATTATTCATGTTCATTGGTATATTAAAGACCACAGTACACCAACCGCTTGGGACCATTTGGATTTTTTTTCGCGTATAAAAAGTCAAAGGTACTTTTTCATGTATAATAAATTAAGAACTTCTTTTAGAATTTCATAATTTTAGACTGTTAATTCAAGATCTTAAATGCTACCAAATGATTGAAAAAAATTCCTCTTTGAGAACGTTCACTCCGCCTATTTATGGAAATTTTAATTTCACCATGTCCATATCGAAAATAACGGGGCAATTATTATACCATTCGTCTAATTACTTAAAATGCCACTTTTAATGCTGACCTTTGTGTTAAAATAATACTAAATAATTTTGCATAGAAATCATCAAGTTTCAAGTTTCCCAAATAAGTGATACCTTCTTCTTCTTCTTTTTAGGAACGGAATACTTATACTAATTCTAACTTGTTTCCAGAATAACAATGGATTTTATTTTCAATAATAATATATATTGTATACAAAATGTTTTACAATGCTATTCATTCCCTAGGCCTAGGTGCCACCATTCGAGGCAAGACGAATAGACATATGAGAAGAGATTTGACAGTAGCACAAAGTGCAAAAAGTTGTTTTGTGGCACTCTTCACATGATATCAAATTTTTGAAAAGAAAAAAGATTCTTCAACTACTTTAAGGAGTTTTAGGTTTGAAAAAAAGTTATATTGCGATTAGTTATGCCATGATAATAACTGTGATTAGTTATGCCAAGATTAGTTATCCTCGTATTATTTCTTATTAATTGTTTGGTATGTTATATTAATCCTGGATATTGTCAATTTTACTCTTTTATCCTAGTATAACTTATCCTGAGATTACTATTCCACCCTTTGGCACGTAGTATAAGTAATCCAAGTAGGGCAGTACTATTTTTAATCCTGGGATAGGTAACCGAACAACAGATAAGGTGATACCAAAATTTTTATTCCAAAATTATTTTTGTTTATCCATCATACAAACAACCCCTAAGAGGTCGAAAACTACTTTTAAAGAGGTAACCGGCAAGAAAAGCATTTTTGCACATATTGCACGGCTTATTCCTTTTTTCCTTTAAGTATTATATATATGTGTATACATATACATACGTGTATAAATATACATACAGACTTACATAAAACATATACATATACATACTGTGTTGTGACCCAAACAGTCCTCTATTTGACCGCAGAGTAAACTCACATACAATAAGAACATAACAAGAGTCCAATGCTGCAGCAACTGAACAAGTGAAAATGGGGGAAAAGAAGAATCCACTTCCGGATTTCAATTTCAAATGTTAAATTACTTGATTTTGGAGATAATTCTTACAAGATTGAAGCAATTGAACTACTTCAAATCAATGAATGGGACCAATGAGGTACCCCTGATTGAGGAGAATTATCTGGTTCCAAGAGAGAATTACAAAAGGAGACTTTGATTCTAGACCTACTCCTATGTCTGTTAATTGAACAACAGTTCCATCAGTCATGTCAAATTACAATTTCCGCTTTTGGTCAACCTCTTCCCTTCTTCGAAATGTGACCTGTCTTCCGCTTATGACGACTGAAATCTGACACAAAACGAAATGTCTGACCACAGCCGGACTCAGTACAAACATAAGGACGTGCACCTGTATGAACTCTTATGTGTTCAGTTCGAGCCCATGCCCACTTAAACGTCATCTTGCAGCCTTTCCAAGGGCATTTCAGAGGACGGTCGTCCATATGAACCCGTCGATGCTGTACCAAATACTTGTGTGAGAAGAACTTCTTTTTGCACCCTTCGACTGGACATACGTTCTTTTTATGCAATGAAAGCTCCTGCTTTGTGCTAAAACTCATACTGCACCCTTCCAAGTCACAATGATATTCTCCTTCCTTATCCTTCATCTTTTTACTAGTATTAGCCTTCATTACTGGATCTTTCTTTGAATTGCTATTAGCGGAAGGAATTTTGACCTTAGAACCTTTCTCTGCTTTCTTGCTTTCATTCTGCTGCTTTATTGGAGCTGGTCTGGACTTAACCAATGACTCTTTGCTCGGTTTTAGCATCCTTTTCCTCAGACGGGTGCTAGGCCCACCATCCGGATCATCATTAATGGGTGAGCCAATTCTCTTCTTCTTATCAACATCCTCCTCTTTAGGTTCAGGAGTCTCATATTTAATCCTCTTACTCCTAAGATTAGTTTTTCGTTGCTGCTGAGGGACATCACTAACTGAAGAATCATCTGCTATTAGTAATTTAGAATTCCTTTTATTTTCTACTCTACTCTTCCTCTTTTTACCAGTTCTGGCAACAGTTTTACCAGTTGGAGTCATTTCACATGGCCTCTCAGACTTCACCTCAGGCTTAACCCGGGTAGAGATGATATTGTTGTTCTGTTGTTGTTCTTCATCAGTATCCCTCCTCTCAGCAAGTAGAGGATGAACCTGACTAGACATCCAAACTTTCCCACACCATTTCCCAGCAACAACTGCTCTCTTCTGCTTCCCTGACCCCCTGCCAGTCCCAGTATACTCTGATTTTTCATCTGGAGAACTACGACCAAATGCATTGTAGATGATGAAGTTACAAGGCATCTGTTTACTGTATAGCGGAGAGCGGCTTAGGTTGGCACTGTAGAAGAGGTTGATGTCTAATTTCACAGTCCAGTCTCCATTGCCATGTATGGCCTCTTCAACTTCCAAAGCTGATTGTATCATTTCCTCATCTTCTTTAGTGGCCTCGCGGAATGAAATCTCTCTCCAGAAATGATCTCTCCCCAGCTCTTCGGCCATTTTTTTAGCTTGAGCTTCTAGCTTGGGATAGTCTGCTAATATTTCAACATGTGTCAAGGATATGCAAAAGAATCATACTAAGTGGCTGAACCAGAAGATCAGAATAATTGGGTGACGCCAACACTATAGCTACATGAGTACATAAAGAACTGTTTAACGTCCAATCTTACCTTTTATGGTGCCAGTGTACAATGATATACCACTTAAAAAACATCAATATAATCACATATTCTCTTATGTTTCTCAAATACCCAAAATAAAGGTTATCTGTAACCTTTTCTTTCCTAGAGAATAGTAGCAGTTTCACTTCATCTTGATGGAAAAAGCTAATGCAAATCAGTAATCTGATATAACAGGTTGCACTCAGGTGCAACCTCCAATGGAGATTAAATTAAAATGAAGAAACTAGATCAAAACTCCGCTTTTCTCCTAGATGAACTATGATAGCCTTGCCTTAGATCAACATGATTATGAAAGGAAAAGTTTGAAAGAGAGAAAGCAATTGAAAGAGGACTTTAAATATAACAGTGAAGAGAAGACATGTAAGAGCTTGTAGCGGCAAGAGTACCCAAGAAAAAAAGAAAAAAAAAGAATTTAGAGCTCACCTGGATGACAAAGAAGAGAAATATGTACTCCACCAACTTGTCGGAGCTGTTCTTCTATTTGTACAGCATGCTGGAGGCAGAATACATGTATTCTGAAAGAGTCTTCATCAGATGTTGAAGTAAATTGCATAGGCCCATTATCAAATGGAGCAACACGATCGCTATTTGCTATTTCCCCTCTATGGGAAAACGGGATACAATTTGCACCAACTTGATGGGATCTTAGTTGATGCCTCGACCTATCTGGCAAGGTATTTGACTCCCCCGGCGGGGGATTTTCACTCTCCAAGTGAATGGAATTATCAAGACTTTGACAGTTTCTACCATCAGATACAGCTCTTCTTTGTCTGTGGTTTGCATAAGGATCAATAACTCGTAGAGAAACCTCATCCTCAAAATCCATATGTCTGCTTTCACAAGCTTCAACAGGAATATTTGCTTCAACCTCATCTTCATCAGAGTCTGAAGAATTAGCATAATTTAAAGCCAACAGGCTGAGGGAAGAAGTTTCTTTGCGTGCTTTGGTACTTGAAAGCACTCCTACTCTTTCATTATTCAATTTCCGAATTCGATCAGACGACTCTATCGAGACATCAATCAAGCCACCTGGAGCCCTTTTAACTAACCATCCTGCAATCAACTTATAAAGTTCAACTATAACTTGCCCCGCAAACCAAATATGCAAGTAAAAAGAAAAAGACAGGATTTATAATATTAGATATTGCACAGATCATTTCATGAAGAAGATACCTGAACTGGAATCTGATTCTGCAGCATCGTCCCTACTGGTAGCAGTTACGCCACCTACATTTCCTGTCCAGTCATTGAAGTTGCGATAATCAGATGACATCAAGTGGTGGGCAGCTGCTTCTGTTGGTTGAATTATGGCCACACACGTATAACATAGGATCCCACAAGTTACACAAGAAAAAAGTCCATGCTCTGACAGCGTATCACATCTGTAAGTCAGTCCTCTTGCAGGGTCCAGGTTCCCCCTTTCGGTCTCTGGAGAGGATTCAGCCTCATCTCTGCCAGATTCTGGCAGTCTGTTACCAGCATGCCAAGACGAGTGCTTTCCCTTCTCCAAAGAGACACTTGCCAATTGTTTCATCCGCTGTTTCCTGCCTAGCATGAGAGCATCAGATGCGGAATCTGTTTTACTCTTCACCTCATGATCTGGACTGGATATGCTGGGGAACCTGGAGTTTACCTTTAACTGGGACCCAGCTACTGAATTGGAGCCAATAGAAATCCCTGAATAGTGTTGAGGGAGAAGTACAACAGGTGATCCTTCTCCAAGAATATGAAGAAGATAATTGTTACAGTTCAAATCCTCAACAAATAGTTCTTTGACCAACATATCTCCTTCACTCTTCTTCTTGTCCTTTAGGCGAGAACTCCTTGGTTCTATTCTAGTGTTCTTTGGTACTCTGCAGTAGAAGATTAAAGAAGCTAAAGAAACCAACAGAGAGACCCTTACCTAACATAGAGGATGCTCCAAATAGATTGTTAAACATATTCAATAGTTTTAAACCCACCATACAAGCATGCAAAGAAGCGGTTCAATCAATGATATATAATCAGCCCGTGTGACTCTCTTCAGTTACAGGGATGCAAAATTTACTATCTATCCACTTCAATCTAAGACGGTATATACAAAGATGAATTATCAGGAAGGATGCAGTCTATTCATGGTTCCCTCCTCCAAGCTATAGGAGATTATACTGAGGAAAGAACTAGCAGCAATCACAAGAAATGTAATCCAGTAAGAGTGGGAGAACACGCTTAAATCTGGTAACCTCAGAAAGAATCTGAATGTAAGAATTAAGATGCAGCAACTACTGCACAAAACCTGAAACTATCACTGGGTTGGCTATTCAAGATCTTAACCAGTGTCATTTGCTAAAGCAGAAAACAAGGATCGGTGAATGATCAAAGCTGTATTTGTCAGCTTTGCTACATGGGTCCAATTTCCTTGCCAATGTTAGGACTTAGGAACAATTAATATATGGTCTCATAGAATAAACATGGCGATACAATGTCACAGTTAAAACTAAGGAAATAAAAGGTCAAAACCATAAAATATTGCAATCAATTCCTAATCTTTCATGATGGTCTAACAAGCTTTAAAGGGTCAAACGTATTTTAACGAATTGTCAAGACACATCCATAGTGAAACTACTTCAATTGAAGTTTTGAGTTCGTACAGGATTCAGGAGGAAACATCCTTCTTCGCAAACAGATCATGGAGAGAGGAAATAGAAGGGATGATAAAGCAGGCTTCAGGTAGCTAGAACTAACGTGCTTAAGCAGACAATCTCCAGCAAAGACTTGGTGCATGAATGAATGGAACTATATTGATAAATGCTTATTTATCAGACACTACACATCCTATGAGTTTACAGGAATAATACTTCCCTGCATCTTGAAGTGTAGATCGTATTGTCTATACTGATACATCTTATACAGCAGATGCAATAAGGAAAATTCAGCTCCACAACTCAAATATGGCGATAGACTAGTTCAAAAGGCTTGATAAATGGGATGTCTTTATACTAGTAATCTGTTTTTCTTTTTGCTTTTTCTATAGGCAGTCTAATACAATTTACCCTAAGGTTTCAATAATCCAGGAATGGTTTTAAAAATAATAAAAAATTACCTATAGCAAGAGAACAAACCTTGAACAGAGTGAAAGTGCTAGATCATAAAGCAACTGGAAATGTGACACCATTGGAGGACAATTAATTGATGCTCTACGGATGGCAGCGTCTTTTGCAACTATCAACCACCCAGGAGTAGCAATGTTAGAAGCCTCCCCGCAATTAAATCCTAAATTTTAAAATTGTAGAAAGCCCAAGAATTGTCATTTTCTGGTCATTCTTCTTCCTTCAACAATTACTGAGCAACAAATAGATCCCAAGACATAATTACATCTAACCAAAAAAACTGTCTTACCGTGACTAAACCCTGAGTGATAGGCTCGTGGAAAGGTAATAACAAAATCTCCGGCATTTTGCACCAACCTGAATTCAAATAGGAAAGTCAGGACTAGAAATGGTGTGTTGCCGCCAGAGATATATTATCATGCATTAACCACAGAAACGATGTGTCTCTAGGTTCATCTGATAACGTTTACTCTGAAAACAATCAGAAGGTTTTAAAGCAATCCTTAATATGTCAATCTAACACAGTTATAGTCCCTCCATGGTTGAAATACTATTGATCATTTTCCCCCAATACCAGGTCAAGTAATGGTTCACTGATAGATGTCTTTTTTATAAGGGTTCACAGATAGATGTTTTCTCCAGCAGAAAAGACAATAATTGCCTCTCTTATTCCGCTTTAGTTCTCTGTCATAATCCACTTTAGCTTAAAAGCTCACAAAAGATATCCTCCAAGTATACAAAACAAGAAGCGATTAAAACTCCAGAGGTCATGCAAACAAGTTTAAAGTGTAGACCCACCAATAACACAAACAGAGAAGCAAACATCAGTATTTCACCTGCAGCATGGAATACCAGCACTAAGCAGTACTTCAGGTGACATGACTGTGGTCTTCTCCCCAAGTGTAGCAAAGGTAACTGAAAGAAAATGCAAAATTATGGAGTTCAAGGTCACTGAGTATACTAGTTAAAAATGTGTTTGTGCTCAAAACAAAGCCTGTAATCAAATTCAAGTGTCAAAGAAAATAATCTCAATCTTCCCTATGCAGCCAATTAAAGTGAGAGCAAGCAATGGTTTCAGATATTAAGACCAAAGTTTCAACACGAATAAAAAAAGAGAAGTGATATGACCAAAGTTTGGCGGCCACTAGCACATATTATCTTGGAAACAACAGAGTATATTCTTTTTTTTTTAATAATTAAGGGTAAAGAAACAGTCATATATACAGCAGAATATCTTCATGGTGTGTTGTGATTCATTGTAAAGCTGATGTGTATAGTCTAAAAATGTCATATCTCTGTAAGCTTGCAGCAACAAGGATGAATTGATGCCAGAAGGGATAAAAAGACAGAAAGTGGTTCTTATTACTTGTTGTCAACTTTAACATAACACACAAAAGCCCAATCTTGCCAAAAGCTCTCAAGAACTTTAGCCACAGTAATTGAGGGCATGGACACCAAATAAAATAAAGTATTTTTTTTCTTTAAGGTATTCTAAAAAGACAAGAAATATGTATTCAAAAAAACAGAGATGGTAGAAAAAATGTGCTTCTGCCTCTGCAGTGTATATAGCTTAGAGCTTAAAAGTGCCTTGTCTGCCTCTCGGTTGTTTCGCTCGAAGGTCAGAGGTAGCATACTCCCTTCTCAAACTTCATGCAATTCATTTCCTACTTTGAAGCTTTTTAGAATTGCATTGCCACTATGTGCAGTAACTAAACTATGAAGTTCTATGACTTAAAAGTCAAATCAAGAATTAGATGGGATGAGGAAAAATATAGAGGAAAGAAGGCAGGTTAACTTATACTAAACAAGGAAGAAGTATCATTAAAGAGACATAATCCTCTAAGCACCTTAACTTCCTGCCCTGAAGTAGTTATCTTTAGTAGGTACTGTTACCTAAATCATGTAACTGTGAGGCTCTTTACAGTCCCTTAAACATTTTCCATAAGACTCAGTTCCATATGAATGCCAACAAAGCCAAAATATCAAGAACACCAAGTCTAAAGAGACACAGCAGAAGATTTGGCGGGATAAATGTCCATAATATGAACGAGTCCAACATATTTCCACAGTCTGAAGCAGAGATACATCTAAGACAGCTCTACTTTACATGCATCATCACAGTAACAATCACATTATTACACATGTTAATGACAAAATCAGTGAGACCTAACTACATTAATGCAGACAACCAAGAAGCTCCAAGTGGCAGGAATTTCCTCTCAAAATGATTACAGTAATTTCCCTTAGAAAGCATAGCACTGTCTCAAAACTGTACACCATCAGCATTTGTGGGGTGATTCACTAGGAGTTACGTACAGGTTAGTACCAGCTGCCACCAACTCTCTATCCAATTTTCACTCAAGTTAGGCTTCTCATATTTGTATATATTCCTCAATTTTAGAGCCATGAGCCACTTCCGAAATCACAAAGAAAAAGGGCAGCCTAGTGGACAAAACATCCCGCGTTCATGCAGGGTACAGGGAAGGATGCACCTAAAGGGGACTGACTCCCCGGCTCGAACCTATGAGACAACTTTACCATTGCTCCAAGCCTCCCCTTAACTTTCAAAATCACAAGGAGATCAGTATATAACTAGAATTAATCTAACATCAAATTAGGTCCTTCATAAAAAAGAAACAAAGTGATCAAGCCTATTGCAGAATACTACATTTGTTAACGGCAATTATATATATCAACACCTGCGATTATCCAACAACATACAAACACAAATTGTGCAATATCCATGAACATTGTAACACAGAGCTTTAAGTTTTTTGGGACAGAGTTGGGCATATCTGTTTGCTTCATAGAATAATAGGGGCCCCATATTTAGTTCAATGTTGCACAATTCACTGCTTGCAAACAACTAAACAAAATAAGGGTAATGACTTATGCTGGTTTCCCATAATTTAAGCAGGAAACAGGACAAAATCACTTGAGCAATATCAATAGTAAGACTCACCAAGAGGATTAGTTTCTCCAGCATAACCATGAACCCTGATCACCTCCTCAAAAGCCACAGCTGCATCCCTGGGCACACCGTACCACGTCTTCCCGGCACCCATATGCAGGTAATTCAAGCTATGCAAGTCATGATCCTCCACATGCCAAGCAAACCAACTAAACATCATGGCTAAATACACCATAGGTGAAGTTACCCCTGGAATCTCCTCTTTCATGAACTTGAGTAATGACCCTTTTGCCCTTGACACCCCTCTCATATTCCACTCTGTATCAGCCAAGGTAGTAACTGCATTTCCCACCTTCTTAGGGGCAAATGCAGAACCCGGCATGTCATTTGCATACTCAACCGAGAAAGGTTTATCCACAGTAGCTTTCCAATAAAGGGTTTCAATTTCAAGGGGTGAGGTTAAAGCCTTCTTGAAATTCTTCTTCAAGTAATTCTTCTCAAAGGCTTTAGCTTTAGCCTGAAATTCCTGAACAGTATAGTTTTCTCCGCTCTGCCAAACGGGTTTCTTAACGGGTCGGTGTTTCCTTGGACAAAACCCGATCTGCTGCTGCCTAGTGGTGAATGTTGGACCCCCATTTGAACCGGACCGAGCTGAAAGTGACCGGTTTAGGTAAGCAAGAGCGGTCTTTTTGGGAGGTGCAGGTACTGGGGGTACAATTTTGCAAATTCCATACTTTGAAGCTTCCTTTTCGATCTTGAAAATGTAAGCAATGGGATCTTGAAATTCCTCTAGGGTTGGGTGATACTCTGGTGCTACTGGTAGGGTTTTTAGCCATGGAAATACCTCTATGTTACCACTTGCCTCTGCCATTAATCAAATTTTTCTTTTTCTTTTTTTGCTATATTCAAAGCACATATATAAGATCTATAGAAACATTGTGGTAAGAGAGATAAAAGAGAGAGGAGAGAGAAACAGCTGTTGAGATTCTCTATTCTCTCAATGTTTTCTCTTTGGTATTTATAGCAGAAGAGGAAGTAATTTTTATAGTAGCAGTTAGCTGTGTGTTAGTAGTGTGAGTATTTGTTATTGTTTCTGTCCTCTGTTCTTTGTGCCAAAAAAGAAAAACAGAGGATAGAAAATGGGACAGAGCAAGGGAGAGTAGTAAAATATGTGTGTGAGGGGTTTTATCTCGGTTTGGAGCTCACTCTTTAAAATGACACCCTGTTTTTACTATATTCATTCTTTTGCCATAATTTCTGTAAAAAAAAATTAAAGGATCACTAATTTTATAACTGTATAATTTTTTTGGTCGTTCCGTGTCCGGTGTTTGTATTGGGGCTCCGATTGATCCAAATCTGCATCGTGTAACGTTCATTTATTCCTTAAATAGCTTCTTATTAGAAATTTTTTATTTTCATAATAGAATCGAGTCTTTTAATTAAAGGTGCAGAAAGTCGATCAGATTGTACTCCTTCCGGTCCACAATAAGTGACTAATTTGCTTTGGATACACTCATTAAGGAAATACTAAATTCTAGACAAAAATAGTTAGTGTGACTAAACTACCCTTAATTAAATGTTGGTGCATAATTTAATGTGAGTAGTGAAAAACTTTTTAGAAAGACGTATACAAGGGTAATTTAAAATAAATTGAATTTTTTCTTGATTATATAAATGTATATTTAATTTGGACTAAAATAAAAAGATAATTGATCACTTATTGTGGATGAGAAGAAGTAATTTTTAAAAATACTAGAGTGCATGAACTAACCACAATATGGTAAGTGAGGCAAAGTGGCATACTGCCTTTTACAGAAGCTTGTTTTTACTATGCATTTTTTGGGGGAAAAAGACAGGAGAGGTTCCGCTAGGATTTTTTCACTGAATTTTGTTGTATTATAACTATACAATTACATTTTGTAGACAAACAGTATAAATAAATTTCCGTTATGGAACTTTTTAAAGGTCAAACTTTAGGAATTTAACACGACCTTTTGAGTTGGCAGGGTGAAACATTTTTAAACTCAAAATCTGAATATTTATGTTGAAATAGCTAATCAGTAGTGTGTACAAAATACATAAGTTTGTTATATATATATATATTCTTTTTCGTCGGTCTACTGATATTATCTTGTTTACATATAATAAAAATCTAAATAAACTATAATTCTCTCATGATAAAAATGCCCTGGTTTCAGTTGAAATGGCAACATCTCTACCACTTGATGCAATCAACTCACTTGCTCAAACAAATAGATAACCAATTTAAATTCTATACACCAATAATGTAATGATTTTTTTACGTTATTCATATAATTTATTAAATTATAGTAAGTTGTTTATCATCTATTCTAGGTAATTAATATTACTAGTATTGAATAAAGTTATTTGCAATTACCTAAGTTATGTGATTATGTAAATATTTTTATTTTGTTAGTGCAGAGAACTTAAACTAATTGGAGAAGTGGGCATCAGCTTATATGCTTATTTTGGCGGCCAACGGAGCAAATTAATTGGTTCTTTGAATCAATGAATATATTCTACTTCAGAGGAAATTATCACCAAAAATGTTTAGTTTGTCCAATTAAATACTAAATGAGATTTGAAGTACGAATTAATGTCTAAACATTTCAGGCATGTCAAAAGCAGTAAATCACCTGAAGATTGTGATAACAATCTATCAAATTTCCGCTTCTGTTATTCACTTAATCACTCGATTTCTTTTGGATATTCAAGTTGGACTTGCCTGGAACTTTTGCCAATCTTAACCAATTACTTTAAGTGCACATCCAAACTAATCAAAAAAGAAAAGAAACTTTGGTTAAATTGTTTTCTTGATTTTTTGGGCTTTTTTCACTTGTAGCACACGCCAACAACTATTTATATTTGGTAGCCGAAAAAGCGTATAAAATTTATATAATTTTTGTATATATATAAATACATTCTTCGGCTATTATTGTAATATGGCCAATATTTTGGCTAGTGGAGTCCATCTCACATAAGCATAAGCTTATTTGCAAAGTAGACTTGTTGGCAATTTTGGGACCCAAAAATATTGCATTGTATGGTGGGTATCATTTGCACAAGTTGTATCTTTTTTTTTACAGCTTAGATGCCAAAGCTTTTTTGCTTATAAAAGGAAAGGTCACTAGTTCATTTTAAACACACCAACAAGACTTGCTTTTTTGTATATATATCATTTCTTGTTTCTTACTCTCCTCCTTTATTGAGAGTTGTTTGTAAGAGAGTTGAGTGTTGGGAAGCACTTATGTGATCCCCTTTTTTTGGAGTGATCTTGTGAGGTTATTCTCTCGGGGGTATTTGGGATTAATTAGAGTATTTACTCTAATTTTGTACGCTCTTTTGTACTCTTGTTGCTATAGTAAATTTGTTCATCTCCGCTTGTGGACATAGGTCACTTTGATCAAACCACCTTAAATTTGTGTCTTCTTTATATGCTTTAATTGTCGTTGTTATCAACTTGCATTGTCTTTGTTATTATCATTATAACATTATTTGGCTAAATTTCTCACTACCCCGATATTTCAATCCTAACAAATTGGTATCAGGGCGGGCTCTAACTGGGTTTGTTTCAATAGTCAATATGACTTTAACAAAGACTTATGTTGAGAAATCTGATCGAAGTGCAAACTTCGAAATGTGGCAATTAAAGATGGAAGCTATCCTAATTCAGGATGGCTTAGATTTGGTACTCCAAGGAAAGGAGAAGAAGCCGGATAAAATGATGGACAAGGAATTTGCCGTCATTGACAAAAAGGCAAAAGCATATATTATTTTAAATCTCTCAAATGAGGTTTTGCGTGAAGTTGCTACAGAAAGCTCAGCCAAAGGCATATGGGAAAAGTTGAAAACTCTGTATATGAAAAGAACAGTAGAAAACATGTTTTACCTAAAGCAAAAACTCTACAATTTTCATATGGCTGAAGGTACCTCTATACTTACACATCTTGATACTTTTGATTCTCTTCTTGTGGATCTAAGTAACATAGATGTTGAAATCAAAGACGAAGATCAAGTTGTGTTATTGCTTGTTTCCTTACCCCCAGTCTTTTAAACATATAAGAGATGTTATACTTTATGGAAAGGATAATATCTCTTATAAAGATATCAAATCTATTTTGAAATCAAAAGAACAAATGGATAGAGATATTATTGGGGAAACTAGTGGGAACCAAGGGGAAGACTTGTTCATAAGAGGTAGATCCAATAAGAAAGATTCAAGTAGTGAGAGACCTAAATCAAGGTCAAAATCCAGATATAGAAATGTCATGTGCAAATACTGTCATAAGAAAGACCACATTATTCCTGAATACTTTAAATTGAAAAATAAAGAAAAGCATACAGAAAAGAAAAATGAGCACAAAATACTGACATTGTCGAAGCAAGTGTAGCTGCTGATGAGACTGAAGGAACTATTTTTTTAGCAACTAATAATAGTTTCAAATTTAATAATGAGTAAATTTTAGATTCGGGTTGTTCTTATCATATGTGTCCCAATCGGAATTTATTTACCATATATGAATCTATTGGAAATGGAGTTGTCTTGATGGGCAACAATGCTGCCTGCAAAATTATTGAAAAAGGTACTGTCCGAAAAAAATACACGATTGTGTGGTAAGAACTCTCACTGATGTTAGACACGTTCTTGACTTGAAGATAAATCTCATCTCTTTGGGCATTCTAGAATCTCTTGGGTGCAAGTACAGGTGAAAGTAGAGTTTTGAAAGTTTGTCATGGTGCTCTTGTGATCATGAAAGCATGTAGATCTAGTACGTTGTATACTTTATTGGGATCTACTGTTATAGGTGCTGCTGCATTTTCAACATCAGATAAATCTGATTATGACATCACCAAATTGTGGCATATGCGATTGGGACATATGAGTAAAAAAGGTCTTTCCTTCCTCAGCAAAAGAGGTATCTTATGTGGCCAAAGTACCGAAATATGGAGTTCTGTGAACACTGTGTGTTCGATAAGCAGAAAAGAATCAGCTTTAAATATCCAACAATTCATAGAATAAAAGGTACTTTGGATTACATTCATTCAGATCTTTGGGGTCCCTTACGTACCCCATCGAAAAGAGGTGCCAGTTATATGTTAACTTTCATAGATGATTTTTTAACGAAAGTTTGGGCTTATTTTATGAAAAATAAAACTGATGTTTTCTTAACTTTCAAACAATGGAAAGATTTGATTGAGAAGCAAACAAAAAAACAGGTTAAATGGCTTAGAACAGATAATGGCTTGGAATTTTGTAATGATGAATTTAATGAATTTTTCAAGTATGAAGGAATTGCTCGACACCGTACTTTGAGAATGACACCTCAACAAAATGGTGTGGTAGAAAGGATGAATAGAACTCTTTTGGAAAGGGCTCGTTGCATGATTTCAAATATTGGGTTGACAAATGCCTTTTGGGCAGAAGTTATCTCTACAGCTTATTATATTGTCAATTGTGCTCCTTCTGCACCCTTAAACTTCAAGACTCCAGATGAAATCTGGTCAGGTACTCATTCTAATTATTTCGATTTAAATATATTTGGCTACCCAGCATACATGCATGTAAATGATGAAAAATTAGAGCCAAGGGCTAAAAAGTGCATTTTTCTTGGGTATGCATCTGGGGTGAAATCATACCGACTATGGTATCCTGATCCCAAGGCACCAAAATTTATAATTAAAAGAGATGTAACATTTGATGAATTCTCCATGTTACATTCCAGAAAAGAGTCTTCTAGTTCTTGTAATACAGATAAAGGGAAGAGTACATAGAAGCAGGTGGAGGTTGAGATTGACATTCCTTCTGAGCCAAGCTTACCAACTTTGAAGCAAAATACAGTTCAAACTCTTGAAGTTGAGCCAAAAGCTGAAATTCCTGAAGTTGAACCAGAAGAAGATGAGTATTCTATAGCCAAACATAGACCAAGAAGAGAAAGTAAACAACCATTAAAGTTTGGAGATTATGCTGCATTTACTTTTTCAGTTGCACAGGAAACTGAAGAAATTGGAGAACCATTAAAATATTCAGAAGCAGTTTTTGGTATTAATTCAGCCAAGTGGCTGATTGCAATGAATCAAGAAATTGAGTCTCTCCACAAGAATGGTACT